CTGTGTGGATGCTGTGTGGAGATCATGTCAGGTGCCAGTGGTAGAATCCCAATGTAGGATCTGGGATTAAAGCTTTGCCATTTGTAGCAGTAATCTGTACACCTTTTGAGAAACAACTCCTGATAGATTGCTGAAGCCTCAAAGAGATTAAGTCCCTGCTATGGGACACCGAGGCACTGCACCTGTGGAACCCCATATCTTAAGGCAAGGCTAGCAGTGCTTTATTGTAAGAGATGGATTCTAGAAGTAGAAAACTTGGATTGAGCATAAATATGACTGAAAGACACAAAAAAGCTACATGACAAGACAGTCCCTTCTTCCATGTCATTTGCCACTGTTGTACTTGAACCTCTTCCTCAGCTCAGTTCTCACTCCATATGGAGAATGCCACATGGTTCACTGCTGGAGGAGGAAAAAGCCTTCAGATTTAGTTTATAGATGAGCTGGTTTGGTAGGTGGATGTCGTATAAGCCAAAAATGCATGGCAGCTACACTGCAGCCTTGCTCAGGAGTAGCTCATGGGGCTAGAGAAAAATTCTTAAAATAGGCTGAGCTTTAAGGTCCACCTGGTTATTCTTTTTGTGTGGATTAATAAGTAGGAGCTCTGTCAGAATATATATGGACTGATGGGTAGAAGTGAATGGCCTGGCTCAGGATGCTGAAAGCAGAGATATTAGAAGATTGGGGAAAAGGAAGCTTGGAGCATAAGCATGTGAATGACATGTGAGAGTGGACACAAAGCGCAAAGATCTTTGTGTCACATGTTAACACCTGTTAACTAGAGAGCACCCACCACAGAAGATGCACTAAACAACGGTGTGGACCTGTGTTGTCCAATATTGTATCCACAAGCCAGATATGGCGACTCCAAACTGAAATGTGCTCTAATTGCAAAGTACACACTGGATTTCAAAGACTTAGTCTTCCAAAAAGAATGTAAAGTATTACTAATAATTTTTATATTGATTACATGTTTAAATTTTTTTATATACTAGGTTAAATAAAATATTAATTTTATCTTTTTAAACTCTTTTTAAGGTGACTATGAGAAGACTTAAAATTACATGTGCAGCTCACATTTGTGGCTCCCGTTATATTTGTTTTTGACAGTATTCACATAGACAGAATAACTTGGCCAGTTGGCAGCAAGCAGCCAGCCTCAGTCATTGGCTACTCCAGGGCTGCCGTGATAGGAACATGGATTGGGTGGCAGTGGCAGCCACGAAAGCTCTACTTGTGTCCATGAGCGTGGCCTGCCACTTACCAAGAATGATAAATCTCCCGCTGCTGCCAAATGTACAGTCTGCCAGCAACAGAGACTGATGCTGGGCCCTCCATATGGCACTATTCTTCTGGAGCCTAACCAGTCACTTGTTGGCAGATTGATTACATTGAGCCCCTTCCATCTTAGAAGGACCAGAGATTTTTTTGTGTTTCTATTTGTTGTTTGTTTTAAATAAAAATAGACCTATATTCCAAGTATAAGTTTGCCTTTGTTACCTACAGGGCCTTGGCTAACACCATTATTCAAGGACTTACAATATATTTGATCTACTCACATGGGATCCCACATAACACTATATCAGAGCAGGTGAACTAATTTACATTCAAGAAGGTGTGGCAGCGGGCACACTGATCATATCACAGACTTCAGAACTCCTGGCCTAACAGATTGTTGACTGGCCTGTAGGAGGTGCAGTTGAAGTGCAAGTTTGGAGATGATGTTCTGCAAGAATTGGTTATTATCCTCTAGGATCCAGTATATACATTGAATCAAAAACCTTTATATAATAATATGTCCTCCATAGGAAATACACATGGGTCCAAACTCCATCAGGTGGAAGTAGGAATGGCCCCACTTAACATGACACATTGGAGAAAATTGTGCTTCCTAGTCCATAACTCTATAGGTTACATGTCTTTGCAGGGTTAAAGGTCCTAGTCCTCGAAGTGGGTACATTTCTATCAGGGGACTAAAGAGTTTCATCGGACTTAAGCTATTGCTACATCTTAGAGGTTTTAGGCAAGGAGAAAAAATACTTCATCTTGAAAGCGGTATTTGACCTAGATCCTGAGGAAGAGATGGGCCTACTATTACATAAGAGGAGCAGGAAGTAATATTCACTTAGGTGCCTTTTGGCTCTGGGTCATACCATCAAGTAAGCCATTGAAACTAGCAACTGTGTTTGCTGAAGCTGAGAAGAATGTAGAATTAATAGTGAGAGAGGGAGATGGTCAGTTTTAGTTGTGGATTTAGGACCAGCCAGGGTGGCAGAAGAGTCATTTATTCTACTAACCTTGCTTCTTTAAGTTTTTCCCAGGGAGAGAGGCCCACTAGAATCCTGAAGGAGGTGTTCCCCGAAATTTAAGTGATGACATGAATCTGAGGACATGAGGGGTGGATGTGGAAGACACGGAGCTGTTTTACCTTTAAAAATTTGCCTTAAAGAAGGTCTTGTCCCGGGTCCTAGGAGCGATGTCAGAAAAAACACCGTCCAGCTTTCAGCTCTGTTCAGGCTTTTTCCTCACTGCAGGGTGCCAACTCATCTGAGAGCACTCCCTTTCTGAGGTGGACAGCATTCAGAGACTGATTGTGGTTTGGCTACAAAGGCCCAGCCATTTCAGTCCGCGAGAGGACGACTCAGAGGATCCCTTATCCTCCAGAGCACACCGGTGGGGTTGGGTTGGTCTGGATCACAGCCTGATATCTGTCTTTTCCTAATCTGCTTTCTCCCACAGCTCTCACAGGAATTGATTCCTCATAAAAATCCTGCATGCTAAACTCCATCTCAGTTGTGTGCTTATGGTGAGCACAACCTGAAACACCAGCTTTTGTAAAGCTTCAGTGCTCTCTACTGTTTAGTTCCTTCTATATATATTCTCCACTTTAAATCCCCATTCGCTCCAAATCTTACACCTTTGACTAAGCTCTACACTTACATTTCCTTCTGTCTATTTGTTATTTTCACTGAGTATCCCAGCATCATTTCAAGCTGTCCAAAATGAACACATCTCTTCTTCCTTATAAGATTCTAATTTCTGTTGATGATGTCTATCTTCTTATGTCCTTTCCCATATTCCACCTAAGCTCATATTTTTTTTTGTTACGTTTAATTTCTCACATCTTAATGGACTTTCAAATAGCTGGCTTTTTCCCTGCTATAATTAGCCACATCTTTTTACTTGCTTGTCTAGAGGGACCCGGCCTGTCTTTTCCCTACTACCTCATCATTGTAGCACATTCTTGTACAGTATCCTAAATCAGAGTAGTTCTCCACTATTTTTTTTTTTAATGAGTAGTGACTGCAACAGTGACTGGAAAGATTTTTACTTTGGTATTTCCATCCTCCCAAACTGTCTGTGCATGGCAGCTACCCTGATACCCCACACCACAAATCACTCTTATTTGATTGATCTTCCTTTTCGAAAATCTTCAGGATTTCCTTATTTCCCCAAGGATATAAGCCAGATTCCTTGGGTTGTTCTTTAAAACTTTGCACTATCTAAATGCACTCTCCTCACCTGCTTCATCATTTGTCCCTGACAGTAAATTATCTGTTCTTAACCAGGTCCTTCTTCCCCTCACAGAGAAGTGACTTGGTCCTCATCGGTCTTTCCTCAAATTGTTGCATAATGTGGACTATGGGGTGCCCCTGATAGCTGACATTCTCCCTGTCTCTGAATCTGACACCTTTTCCACCATTTCAGCCAGCCATCTTTCCCTCATCTGAACTCCTGTACAGGAGTGGACTTTGCATCACTCATTTTTGCATTTTGCATACATCAGTAAATGTATTTTAAGCATCTCCCATGTTTTAAACACTAAGCTAAATGCTGAGAAGACAGAGAGTAAGAAGTGTTTTCTGTTCTCAGGAAGCACTGAGGGAGAGTAGATGCATAAATAAGTGAGTGCAATGAGACTTGAATGGGCTCTTATACATGTCTGCTTTGGGCATAAAACAGCAGGTAATCGATTTTCAGTAATATTGGAAGGGCAACATAAAGAAAGGAATATTTGAGTTTTCTTTTGAAAAATAAATAGACGGTCATTAGAATTGTGCCGTCACGATAGGTTTAGAGGGTGTATATTCTTGGCAGAAGAGACAAGCTAAACAGAAGCAGGGAAAAAAAGGAGCAGCAAGTGAAATCTAAGGAACTGCTCTTGTGGGAAGACATGCAAAGTGAAGAGAGAGCTTGTACCCAGATCCCAGGCAACCTGTGAGACATTCCAAGGAGTTTGAATTTTGTTTTGTTGGCAGGGAGGAGGGAACACCACAAATTATTTATAATTAAGTGAACAACATGTTCAAATTTGAGTTTTACAATAATCACACAATCATATACTGTCATTTGCTTTTAAAAATACAGATCCAGTCTCCAAATATAAAACAAATTGTTGGAAGAAAGTATCTTGCCTATGATAGGAGATTAAAAATAATGCAGTTTTTTTTCCTTCATCCTACTGCCATTAAAAGTTAAGTTTTAGTTACCTGAAGCCAGTAGCTTTAAGCAGATGGTCATATATATGTACCTAAGCGTACACATATATTCTAACCACCAAATCATGCAGATTATGCTTTAAGCAAAGCAAAACAAAAATACTACTAAGCAGTTAAAAGAGAGGATGCTACTTACGAGAGATTGGATTTGTCCTTGTAAAAATATCCTCCAGATTTCATTTACATAGAGAGTTTCCCTCTGGCTCTTGTGTTTGCTTGCACATCATCACTTATGAAAAGGTTGAATAGCTGAGAAAGTAAAGTGCTTATAAGCATCTTTACTTATGGACAAATCCTAATAAAGTTAACACATCTTTGAAATTACAATGTAATGAACCATTTCACAGGAACTGGCTTCACATACAACTTTTCAAGAATGTTATCTGTTACACAGAGGGGGAGGGGTATTCTTGTGTATGCTGGGACAGCATCTCAGGGATTGCATCTCAGGATGTAAGAACAAACATTTCACACAACACGCAACAGAAATGCAACAGTAGATACAACTTAGAAACCGGTTTTACTCTGCTGCAAACAAATGACAAGATATTGTACAATATATAATAAAAAGTACAGCATAATACAAGTGCCACTAATAAAAGAAACTTAAGGATAAGACTTAAAAATGCTTATTTGTTATATATATATACACACTGCAATAAAAAGCCACAATAAATACACAAATTTCCATGTCATTCATAATAAATACTGAAAATATAAATACAGAAGACTACAGCTAATATGAATAAATTATTACAACATAAGGTCCAGGATAAGTTCTGTTGAATATTACTGTAGCTTATTTTATATACCCTTTGGCATTTTTGATGTTATAACTTATACACAAGAGAAATCAGTCTAGAAACTGTGCGACATACAACATGACATCTTAGTGTAACATGACTGTATGTGTGGATTGGAGTTGATTTTCTTCCCTTTTGACCTTTTTAATTCATTAGATTTAACATATCTAATAAACATCTATTGAAGTACTGTTGATACTGAGTAAAAGTAACAATAAGAATCAGTTGAAAGATAAAACTAATTGTAACATCAGAAAATACAGTTCAGTGGCTTTTCTGAGTTTTTAAAGTTGCCTTTTTTTTTTTTCCAGCAACAAACAAATAAAAAGTAAAACAGACATTCTCAAAAGACTTCCCTTGTGTAAGGACCATTCCCAATGTCTGAATGGTTCAACACAGACTGAAAGATAACACCCAAGTCCTTTGGATCATTTGATCTACCAGTACATTCAGCTCACTAGATTCCACCAGAATTTGCAAATGTACCAAATTTCTATGGCAGTTGGAAAGTGAGACACAGTTGATGTCTAAAAAACTATGATCAAGATAGACACTGCAAAAAGTGACATATGTCTATGCAACCAATTGTACATATTCTGTAAATGGGAAAAATGTATTTTTGACAAATGTCAAATGATCTATCAAATTGATATACCCTGTGACACGGAAGGAAACACACTGAAAGAACAAAGTGCCATTTTCTGCATAAACAGGCATTAACCAGTACATATGTATTAATAGTTCTATCTTAAGAGGCTATTACACCAGAAATTCAATAAACTAAAAATAAAGCAGATTAACTTTACTAAGACACAATAAAGGCTGAGGTTCTTAGGAACAGAGCTGTAATCTACAAGTTTACTTTTTTTTTAAACTATTTCTGTACTGTAAATGTCTAGCATTTATTATACATCAAACACTTTTGAAACATGTTTCACAAACTATGCCTCAGACTTATTCCCATAGAGGTGCCTAGAGTCAATTAAAACATGGGCCAAATTTTATTCAACATTCTTTACATGATCATTCGATAGGGTTTACCTTTTTTTTTTTTTTAATAAAAAGGATCATTTTCCCCTAATGTTATCTGCGGGGAGTAACCACACTGAAGTGGCTGTCGTTTCACAAGAGCGTCCGAGATGGGGAGATATGCAGCTGTACCAAGACTGAAAAATATCCCATGGAGAAACAAAACATTGATTTCAGGGGTGCTCCTCATCTTCTGGAGAGTTCTGAGTTGGGTATCAACTCTGAGCAAACAGAAAAGGTTCTGAAAGCTGCAGGGAGCGCTTGAGTCAAGTGATGTAACCAGAAAAATCACCATTCTCCAGGACTCTTCCCTTCATTTTCAGGCCTTGTCAAGAAGACAAATTTTTAAATCATTTTCCTGATCCCTGAGAAAGCAAGCAGCCATTGTTTAAATAACACAGGGACAAAGGCTGGGATCAAATGGTGGCTGGGTAAATCTCTGGAGATATTTTATTCCAACAGACTCTTCACAACTACTCCTATCTCCCCCAGGAGGAGTGGAAAACTTTGGATTCTTATTTGTCATTTTAGGCCAAGGAAAGATTAATGAGAAGGTACATACTTAAAAGTAAGAATGTAGAAAATGCTTACTTTTTGTAATTGTAACTTCTCAGAAAATATAACAGGTTAAAAGTCAAGTCACTTGATCCTAGTTCTGATGTTTGTCACTGGGGATCTGAAACAGTCAGTCACTTTTCCTGACATTACCTACTGACATAAGAGCAATCACAAAAACAAACAACAGCAACAAAAATGAAAACCCAGTAAGGCCATATTTGTCAAAAGCTGGTTATGTTACTGAGCATTGTCTCTGTATCCATGTCTTTCTCTAAAAATCTGATTTATTGGGAGACGTATGAAATGATCACTTAGTGAAGTAATAATTATCAAATGTAGAGGGAAACCCAGCTTCCCTTGAGTCCCCTAGTACAATGGCCCAAATCACCACAACTGTTGCCAGGTGCCTAGCCCTCAAAGACTGGCCAAGATATTTTCTTATTGTGAGAAAACCTAAGAGAGCTGAATTGTGTTGCCAAGGAAAGTGCCTTCCCTAGAGATGTTAAGAATAGATGGCCATCTATCCTGTTGGGCATGCCTGAGTGACAGTCCTCCCTGGTGGTAGATCGATGAGCCATATGACCTCTGGAGATCCCTTCTAGTCTCAGGACTGTAACATTTGAAGAATACAGAAGAATCTGAAACTTTCCATTATTCACACACAGTTGGCCATTGTGAGTATCTTTGAAACAATTAAACTATTCTGAGATCCCCATTTGGCATGACTAGTGCTTAATGAATCAGGATTCAGGTGGTAATCCACGGCAGTGGGTTCTATTTTACTGAGATATAAATGAAATAGCTTTGCCAACTATTACATCTTAAAATCAGTCATCTTCAGATATCATTTGGATACCATTAAATAACTCAAGGATCAACACTAAACCAGGCAGCAAGTTCCTAGGTTAGATATTTCGGTTTTTCCACTTTAGGGTAATTCAGATTTGGATTTTATTTTTTCTTCTCTTTTATATTAAATAAAGTTGTTAAAATATATATAGATCTTTAAATTTGTTTTAAAGAGGGGCAGCTTAATGGCTAAGGAAAAAAGCTTTTTTTGGTGACCACATAAAAAGGAGGAGCAAAAGAAAATTGTATACAATGTACGACAAAGGTAGAAATTTCAAACTCCTTTTCCATAGGTACCCTATATAGATACCACAGCAAAACCATTATTAGGAAGCCATGACCCTGACAAGGAGGGTGGTGGATAGTGGTCTTATCCAGTGTGGCAGTAGGACTTGATGCCTGCTGCCAAATTTATCTAGGTACTTGTATCACAAGTGAAGTTGATATTTGTATCGCTTTGTGACATTGTGACCCTTGTATCACAGTGAAGTTAACATTTATATATATCACAAGTACCTAGATAAATTTGAAAGAGACATCTTCTAAGTCAACCTGCTTCTAGATACTCATTAATAAATACATTTTAAGATAATTCCAAGACAGATAAAAATATTGGTAGAAAACTGAAAGAGAAAGAAAGAGATACTCAACAAAGAAGCTATTCCAAAGTTACAACTAAAACTGTTCAATCAGGTCACATAAATTAACTTAGACAATGGCAAGGCTAATTTCTACCATAAATTTCTCTCCTAACTCTTTCTAATCAATATACATTATCTTAAAAATGTTTAAATGGCCTCAGATTTCACTAAAATGAGTTAATGAATGAATGAATTTAACTATCGCCATGGTAATGAGTAATGCAAAGAAAGGAATTACATTGTTAGCATGCTGAATACAAATATTGTCTAAAATAAATTCTATCATATTCCTTTGAAACTTTAGTCCTGCCAGAAACTTTTATGAGGGATGATATAAGATGACACAGTGAAGTTGACATTTCTTGAATTATAAGCCAAAGCAAAGGATCAAATTTATAAAAGCAATTATCCTGTATAGTGATATATTTATCACAAGTAAAAGAACGTAGTCACCAGTGTGACTTATATCTTGGAAATGACCTCATTACTCACAGATACAACAAGTATGTGTATATACTAAAATTCTAGGCTAGATGTAATATTTTAAAATCTACATAGAAAAGTGAACTGAAACATATTGGTTTTGGCATTGAATCCAGTCAGATTCACTCTCCTGCTTCCCATCATTCTATTGGCATTACCACTCTCAGGATAGGAAACCTGAGGTATGCCAAGACAGTACAGACTTAGACTAGTCCCAGAACTGATCACCAGGTAAAACACAGGTCATATCGAATGTTTGAGCTTGAATTTCTGGCAAAAAAATAATAATAAAAAAAAAAACCCTACATTGTTTAGGAAGAAGGTTTCATGATCTAGTTTGAAAAAAACAAGAAAGGAGTTGAAGTAAAATTTAGAAGTGACTGTTTTAAGGAGTCACATTGAATATCTAGATTTAGTAGGTAAAATGTTAAAGAAGAGCTTTTTTAAATGTCTGTACTTTTTACTTTTTACAATCATGAAAGTCATCGATCAGTTATTTTAACATAAAATGTGTTTTTTTTTTAACAAAATAGTTCATTTCGAATGCTGTAGGTGTGTGTTTTTATTATTCTAAAGCATCAAATGACTTATAGACAGTAAAAATGTAATCGATATGAATGTTGGTCAGCAGATGTGAGCACCAACTGGGCTGAAAAGGTGTCTACATTGTAACTGCTCCTTCTAGGTTTAGGTCTGCCATTTGTAACTCTAGTCTTTACAGCATAATAAAATCTAGCTTAGCTCTATTGAACATTTTTTATAATTCCTAATAGACATCACCACTTATTAAGCATTATTCCATCCTCACTTCCACTCTGATACTTCCATAATTCTGGTGGGTATTTAAATTGCTGATATTCAATTAAGTCACCTAAATTCCTTAATACTGCAGAAAACATCTGTGCTATTGGTGCAAAGCTATGGCATTTTGGCTTAGGCATTTTTGTTATTCCAGCACTAGTTAGCAGATTTCAGAAAAAGTAATGCAATCAGAAGTTGCAAATTCATATTAGACATAAGAGTGATCAGGCTTTAAACTTTGGGTTTGGTTGTGGTAAGAATACAACCAACAGTTCCAATTAAAATTACAGACAAGTCTTGTCTTTGAAAGCACAAAGGTGCTTACCATTTAATCTTGGTGTTTAATATGCTGGCTATACTGGCACTGCAAACTGTCTTCAAGAGAATAAGGAGCAGATGCCATTTTAAAAAGAAATATTAAGTTACATTTTTGAGAAAGAGAAGGCTTCTCAACACCTTCTAAAAAGGCAGTCTCCTGTTGGCTTCTGAGAATATAAATTTTCCACTTATTAATTTGATGGTTTGTAACTCCAGCTGAAAGTGACAGAGTGTAACGACCTCTCTGTTTTCCACCTGCTGCAAGGTGATGTCTTTGGAACTTGGAACAGAATTTTGCTATTCTGATAGGCTTTTTATAAATAGAAGTAAGAGTGATTATTTTCCACACTGTTGTCTTAAAAGTGTCCTGAAATGTTTCCTGGGTTATGCATGAGTCAAACCCTCCTTGAAAATGTCTGATAGGAGTCTGCTGGTATAAATTTAGCATCACTTATATAGTTCTAACATTGAAAAAGCAATTAATCAAAAATTTCTTTTTCATTTGATTCAGTACTAGCTGAGTCCAGATTTAATTCATAAATTTCAGGTGGAGGGAGAGAGATGAAGGAAGATCCAGTGAGTTCCATTAATTTGGGAAAAAGAAGTATCTTTTAGTTTCAGCGCACATATAATTAGACAAGAACTGATGTCAGTTTTTCTAATATCCCTTGATAAAATCACATATTAAGAGGATTTGAGAAGGCTTGATTATTTCATGCCACCCTTCATTAATATTATCCCTTAGAATTTGTAGTGTTCCCCTCTTTTTACTACCCAAGACAATTGTTCTAACACAGCAGGTGTTCAGTACATATTTGTTAGAAGGAAGAATTGATAGTTAATAAATTTTAAATATAAAGACCAAAGATTTATAAACTTCTGCAACAATATCAAACATTGAAATCAAAGAAACAGTGATTAGCAACTTATAGAAAGTAAAGCATGGCATGTTTTCCTGTTTAATGGTAATCATACCAAAATTTTGCCTAGAAGTCATCTATTACATTGTAAAAATTTAAAGAACATAGCCACTTAACATAATCTCTTTGCTTCTTAATTTGTAATTAGTGTTTTTGCAACTCATAGTTTCTTTGTGTGTGGGGGGAGGGACTAAGGGAGTATTGCAGGGCCATATATAATTGTGAAGATTTTAATCATTCTAAGAAACATTAGTTTCACATTTTATATATGACTGTCACATTGGGAAAAATGGTTTTATCACAAAGAAATTATGGGCCTTCAAAAAGTAACTATATTATTCAATCAACCAAAAGACATGAGATAAATGAATTTTACCCATGTCTTAATAATTAATGATCAAGAGATAAGGGGGAAAATTTAAGTAAATCTCTTTCATTGACTTCTTTCTCCCAAAGGAAATTGGGAATGACAAAGGAGATGCAAGCTGCTTCAACCACTTGACTTTGAAATCAATCTGGCCAGGATTATAGCTGGGAATTAAGCCCCATTTAAAGGTATAGGACTGGTACTAGAACAGCCAGGACTGGAGCATGAAGCTTTGCAAGTTATAGTGAATGACCAAAAAGTTGTGTGTCCAAAAGACTACAGTTTGGCTAGATATACTATGGGGTCAATACAACAGCTGCAGGTCAGGTTATTGTGTCTTGGCATAAAGATCTTAAGTATTCCAACTGGCTGCATCTAGCTTGATCCCCATTTTTAAATGCTTAGAAGGACTGTAGCACTTTCCTGGCATGTGGGCAGTTCTTTGCTGAATAGAAGGGCTATTAATGGAAAAAAAAAAAAGTCAGATGGAACAGTGTGCTCTCTCAGCTTTTCTGGGAAAGAAACTAATAATGAAATGATTCCATCATTAGTGTGTTTGCAACTTTGACCTGGTATTTTGAAATTATAGCTTTACCAATTATCCTCTTTTCTAAACCACAGTTTTTAGATCATAAAGCCCAACCAGATTCTGAGGTCAGAGAAACTCAATACTTACTACTGGCCATTGCCTGAAATCTGTCATTCTCTAAGCGTGTGATATGAGTGTATTTTATATGTGTATGCCTGTGTATGTGTTAGGTTTATGGGAAAGTTTTAGTAGGTATCTCGTGTATGTGATTTGTGGGAGATGTGTACAAGTTAGTCAGGTGTATGAAAAGTTGGAATGGAAGCTGGTCATGATTGGAAGGTTAAGTCTTCTCAGTAGGGCAGTGAATGGATGGGGGAAAAAACTGTTTTCTTAAGCAACCTTTTGAAAACAAAGGTAGAAAACAAAGATCTAGCCAAAAATTACAAAAAAAAATAGGCTTTATATCATCTTAGGAAAATAAAGCTGAACTGAAATTAAAATATCTCTCTTTTCAGAAACTGGACTGTCATTCTACCCTTCAGCTTTGCTCAGGCTGGAGCTGGCTCTTCCCCACTCTCCCACACTCTGTGTTCCAAGAATAACCTCAGAGTACTTCACAAGCAGATCCTTCAAGAGCTTGTAATGATCCAGCAAATACAGTACACATGATCCTTTCATGTGCTTGAATGAAGGAACAATAGCCTCTTGTCATTTTCTCTTTGAGCCTGTGCTCTTTAGATTGTATCAGTAGGGGGAAAATTTGGAGATTAAGCACTAAAAACTGTCACTTTGCAGACAACATGGGATATATATATATATATATATATATATATATTTGAGATTTCAACAAATCCCCAATCTGATTAGCTCAAAGGGCCAACCATTCAAAAGGAACAACCCTGACCTCATTACTGCAACCTACATAAAGACAAACCCAAAGCTCTTTTAATGTTAATATTAATGGTTATAAATTTGGCCCAATGGAGGGGAAGAGGAGAGACGGAGCAGAAATCAACTGCACAGTGGAAGAGCTGCCAAGTAAACATTTTTTTCCCCAAAACAAATTTTAGTAGAAACTTTTCCATTGGAGGACTTTCTCTAGATCAACCATTTTTAAATTCAATTAAATAAAATATTATTTTAAGAAATTGAGATCTACAATATATTTATATCCATAATTCTAAACACCCAAGTCTAAAAGACATAAAAAATAAGTAGCGATGCAGTCACTGAATAGCAAGGCATGTTCCGCATTTCAAATAGTTATAAAACATGTGAAGTGATATAACAATAGAAGGTCAAAAATGTGAAACAGGTTTAGCATAGTCATATTGCATTGGGAAAAAAAAAGGTAGAATACACTATTTAGTTACCTAAATTAATTTACAGGAAAACGGGATCCTAGAAGTCCTCCGACGAACCAAGTGCAGGTTATCTAAAGGTGGGGAGTGCATGTTTTATTTCTATCTGTTCTCTTTAATAAGAGAATGTGAGGTAATTAGAAAGTATGCAATGAATTCTGGACTGTTCTGCTAGTTGTCCCAGGCAAGACAAATTGAAATGCTTCAGAAAAGAAAGGCCTAGTTGAGTATTTGGGTAGAGGCCCTCCCCTTCAATCAGCTAGTCACTAAGTGGAAATCTCATTATACACTGATTTTGTAGAGATGAATTGACCACGCTGGAGAAAAGGCTGGTTGCTGAGGTCGTGTCTCTTCCATGTTTCCTCAGCCTCCTCTGCATTTACTGAGTTAGGTCCTCAGAGTGGCGAAGGAAAATAGGTCATTTTCCCTTCATAAGTATCATTGGATGATTCCTCTATATTAACTATATGAATCTTATAGTTAAGATCTTTAAAAAAAATTTTTTTTTAATTTTTTCATCTCAAAAAGTTCTCAGTCCCCACCCCACACGAGGTACCGTGAAGGGGCACTAAAGTGCATTTTGATGCAGGGGGTAGAGCTTAAAGGTGCTGTCCAAGCTAAGAACCAAGATGATGCTGTTTAAAAAAGAAAGGCAATTCCTTCTACCTCCATCTCTGGAGTCAGCTGAGGGAGGGCAGTGAACTAGCCTCTCCCCAGAGGATTGTCCTAACTCTTAACTTTAGAGAAAACTGTGTTAAGGACCTGCACATATAGAATCATTTATTTGCCCAAAATAGCAAAAATAGGCCTATTTCACCCTTCAGAATTTTGCAAATCTGATCAGTCATGATCATAAAAATGTGAATGGGTTCCAGATGCAATCCATGTGGGCATGCTCTGTGGAACGAGCTATGTATCTTCAGCTGGAATGAACATGCGGCTGTTCATTTTCATCAAAACGTGACTTCTAAACTACCATAAATAAAATACACATTGAACAATTATATCTTTTTCTTACAATAATTACTTTTACAATAAAAAGTCACCATTATCTTCAGATATATCGAAAATTAGGACTCTAAATCTTATTATTTCCCAGCCTTAGTTAACAAACTTGCACAGGCCCGATAATCCAAAATTTGGAGCTCTGATCTACACAGCTTGGCAGGTTTCACACAGTTTGACAGGTAGGCAACTGTGAGATATGCATTTTTAAAATTTAGCATTTTCTATCAAAACAGTCTGAAATCTTTTAAAATCCCTACAGAGACTGTATTTGTGCAATGCCACAGTCACGTGGCTAGAAAGGAAAAAACAAAATACAGTCTGGAAGATTAAACACCGTCCAAGTTTTCTTGGTCTTCAGTTTAAACAATGATGAGCCCAGGAAATCCAATTAAATACAGTGCCTTAAATAGGAGAAGAGTTGGTCCTAGAATAATTTAAGCTACTAAACAGGGACTGTCTCAACCACGGGTGACTTGATGCACTCTTCGTGCAATATGCTCTTTTCTGCAAGGCTCAAAGAAGTTTCAGCAGGATGCTCTGAAATGTGACTGTCACCATTCAATGTAGAGACAAACCCTTCCTGGGAGGGGCCTTTCAAGTATGAGTGAAATTCCACTTGAGGGTGACTGGACCTGTGTTCAGGATATAAACTATTGCAGGGCACACTGTTATCATTTTCGGAAGAGGAGCAGCAAACGATTACAGAGGGGTTGGCAGCTGGGTAGTGGGAGGCACCATAGGCCTCTTCTGCTTGTCGGGCGTAGTCCACAAATTGCTCCGGGGTCATGGTGTAAGGCACCAGCGAAAGGGTACCATTTTTGACAGTGTCTCTTTCAGAATAGTTCTCAGAGATCTGATTTGGAGTTCCTGGAATGTGGCTATCTATTTGGTAATACAGAGTTGAAGAGTTGGCATAAAAAGAAGCATTCTTTGCATGGCTTTCATGAACGGCGGTGCCATCAGAATAACAAAGAACTGAAGGAAGAGGAACAACTTCCGCATGGGTGCCCAAACCTTCCACAAAGCTGTCTCCTTTGTCATCATCGTCATCCTCCTCCTCCTCTTCCTCTTCTTCTTCCTCCTCCTCCTCATCTGACTCACTAGGTGCCAAGCTTTGTGTGCTAGAATCTGTGACTCCGCTGCAAAAGCTGCTCCCATCCTCCTCTTCTTCCTCCTCTTCTCCTTGGCAATCTAATTCTTCAGCCGACTGCAGGTGCAGCACTGCAGCCTGGGGTTCAGTTTCAATCTCAAAACTGTCTGCAATCGAATATTCTACGGAGTGAGCGACAGGGCCCATGGAACTACTATGAGCACTTATCTCACTGTGGCAGCCATTCAGTGTGGGGATTTGCTGCTCTCGGTTTTTTTCCAGTTCAAGTTTCATTATTGTGTGCAAAAAGTGAGTCCGAACACGGATAGGATTAAATTCAATTCTACCTGCTGTGTTACTACATCCTTCTTTAGTGCAGCCACATGGGAAAGACATACGATCCACCTTGGAAGGAAGAACACAGATTAGCGCTGTGGAACTATTACAAACCAAATAAAAACCGAGAACCTTTTAGTAACTTCTTTGAATTAAGTAATCCACTTAATGCCATGTATGCCAGAGCAAATGACAACCAAACTTCAAATAGGAATGAAAAGGGGAAAGTGAGGGCTTAAAACATAAGAGTTAACTGCTTTTTATACCTATATTAAAATAAAAATGGGTTATGGTTATAAGTATGTATTTTCAGTTCACTGACCCACTCCATGGCTTTCTTTCCTTTTTTATCTATTTTCCACTTTCCCATCCCTCCACTTCTTTAATTTTGCTCCCATTTTTCCAGTGCTTTTGTCTTTTCCCCAAGTTCCCTTTCTTCTGCCGCATCCCAGTTCATGTGCCTGATTTTAAACAAACACACTTACTGCACTCCTTTCCATATACCATTAATCTAACTTATATCATATGCCCCATGTTAACTTTTCCTTTTGCTTATTATAAAGTTGCTTTCTCTTTGCTTGTTATAAAATAGACTTACACCACTTAGCATCAAACACCATCACAATTTGCTCTCATTTGCTTACCTCCTCATTGTTTGGGGTGCTTGGTACCTGGGTACATGTGTGATTGGACCTGTGTTCAGAACATAAACTATTGCAGGGCACACTGCTATCAGTGCTATTTTCAGAAGAGGAGAAGCAAACAATTACAGAGGGGTTGGCAGCTGGATAGTGGGAGGCACCATAGGCCTCTTCTGCTTGTCAGGCATAGTCAATGAGTTGCTCTGGGGTCATGGCATAAGGCACCAGAGAAAGGGTATAATTCTTGACAGTGTCTCTTTCAGAATAGTTCTCAGAGATCTGATCTGGAGTGTACTGAACTGCAGGGCTCCAGTGTATATGCACATTCATGACTATGACTGGTGGACTCATGTGTTTAGGTCCTGAATTCCCCCTTTTCTCCCCATTCTATTAGATACAATCTTCTTGAAGGAAGGGCATGTACTTTTCATCAATATCTCAAAACTATTCTAGTGATTGGACACTGTTTAGAGTGATTAGGTTCAACAAGTATTGGACTGACCTCTTCACTCAGGTGAGGGGTGGAGTTTTGGATAATCCAAGGGCATTCATGAGAGATTTGTCAGTTGTCTCAGACTCCACAGATCAATCTGTATGCAGACCAGAGTGCAGGCAAGAGAAAAAAACTTGCTCTGCTTGTCACCTTATCCGGCACAGGGAATTTCCTATGCTATAGTAGAGAAGGCAGACTATCCTAATACAATCATCTTGGCCCCAGTAAAAAGTACAGTAGATATTAGAGCCAGAATATGTATCTGTATTTTTTTTATTCATGATTCCCTTTTCTGTGAATCCATCTTAAGCAACTGTTCAGCAGATAGGCACTGCCCTCTTCTTTTGCCTACCTGAGTTTCTCTCCTTATGCAGAAAGCCAAGTTTCCACATAAAATAGTGACACTAATTATAGGGCGCCAATGACATTATAAATGAATGGGGACCAGGTAATTATCTAATTGCCAATCATCAAGGGTTGGTCAACTTTTTATTTACAGAGGTCAAAGGAGTAAATATTTTAGACTTTGTGGACCAATATGGGCTCTGAGGCAACCACAATACTCAACTCTGCTGTAGGAGCAAGAAAGCAGTCATAGGCAATACGTAAAGAAAAAAACGTGGCTGTGTTCCAATAAAATGTTATTTACAAAGTAATGTGGCAAGGCCAGATTTGGCCTGTGAACTTACAGTGTGCCAACCCCTGACCTAGTTCAGCTCCTTCATTTTAAAGATAAAGGAAGTAACCCCAGAGGGTTTACCTGACTTGCCAATTTCATATAGTTGGCAAATAGCAAAGACAGGAGTACAATTTAGTTTTCTGAGGTCCCAATCTAGTAACTTTTCCACTAATCCAACAACCTCTAATCAAACATCGTACTATATTCCATGGGTGGATCAGAAAATACACACTCCAGCATTAGGGATGTCATGATCTCTTTGAATACTGATAAAAAGTTGAAATAAGCAGATATAATACAAGAATCAAGATAAAATAATTTTAATTAGCTGATGCTTGGGTTGCCTTTCAAATTATATATTATATGTATAAGCATTTTATGTATTCCCATGATTGTCCTTAAATTAGTCTTTCTTCCTGAATTGTGTCTTGCCTTGCCACAAAATTTTCTTTTACATGGGGGAAGCTTCATTATAAGTACCATGACTGCCTCCTTAGGGGGCGGTGGATAACGTCTGGTCTTTGAATGCCCTTTAATCCAAACTCTTACCTGGCACTTAATGCCAGCCAGGCTGCAGGTGCACGTGTCTGGATCACAGAACACTCGGCAGTCACAGCCACAGTCCTCTCGTGAGAGGCGGATGGCTCGCAGCTCATGCTTTTCTTCCACGTCGATCTTTTTCACTCCAGAGGCACGCAGCAGAGCTCTTCGTTTTTTTGTTGGCAAAGGTTGTAGGAAGAAGTACTCATCTACCTCTGTGTTGTCTAGGTCAATGTCATCATCAGAAATATCATCCAGTGTAAGAGTGCTGGCTTCTTCTGATTCCACTGTGCCATTCTTAGTCATCTACAAACACAAAGCAGCAAATAAGAGACGCATAAAGGGCAGGGTACAAAATCTCTCTGTCTGTACTTGGTGAGAATAAACTTATACATCATCGAGTCCCCTGTAATCAACAAGTGTTTGGAAGATCATTTCTTTTAATCTTTAGGAGAAATCTCAGAAAGGAAAACAAGGGCATCAAAATGTTAGGTTTTTAAATGTACTAGTAACAGAAGACTGTTAATTGGAACTCATAGCCTCCTAATGTTAGGAGCTACGGTTGTTAGAGCTTTTAGAGAGTAGCATGTGAAAAGACCAAAGGTTACAAATGCTCATCAGTGAAAGCTATCTTTAGACTCAGTTCATGATAGGTAGCTCCAATGTTGGAATAACGTGTCCTTGTTCAGAGGTAATAGCATCCTTGTGGAAGCCATCACCACCTAACTCAGCGAATATGTTGTCCTTGAAATAACAACTCTGTCTTTTGAGCTCCAGCAAAGCCATGCACCAGGAAATAAAGGTGTGCTGCACTGTGCTATTGGGATTACAAATACAATTATCCTACAGAACATTCCAAGAATGAGGGCTTGATATGAAGTAATCAGCCAGGTCAGCATGCTCTGAGTAAGACAAAGAGCAGAGGGCTGGGCCCACAAACTCTCAGCAACCAACAACTGAAACAATAAACTCTGCCCTCAGAGGAGTTTACACAAACCCTTTCCCAAAACGGTACCTTCTGCATAATAGCTCATGTGGAAACTCTCTCACATACCCATGACTAGCCTGCCTCTATTTATATTTCTTCTCTAAATTAATCTAATACATTGGTAAACCCTGAATCAGTATTTCATTTTTTAACTGTCATATCACGTTATGTTTCCTTCATAAAAAAGCATCGAGAAAAAGAAATTTTCCCTGAATATGAGTAAGGTATCTATCCTGAGGAGCTACATAGAGTTAATGCAGAAATTTCATGAGAAAAATCATGGAAGTTCTAAATACAGAAGGGATTTTCATCCTTTCATATTTAAACTTGTTACTTCCTAAAATTCATTAATTATAATTATTACTATGCTTGGTAAGCTTAACAACAGTTCATCCATCACACAGTTAAAATACTTGCAACATCAGACATCATTGTCTCATCTTTACAGGAAAACATCCAACATTTAGATAAGAATACTTATTGGAAAAAAATCTTCAACCTGGACAACTCTGAATGTATTAAAAAACAAATAGAAGTTTGGACTTTGCCCTCAAGCAGAGAAACTTTCATAGAGGAAATAACACAGTAGCAAGTGTATATTAAACATATCACAAAGGCCAGGTGTGGTGGCTCAAGCCTGTAATCCCAGCATTTTGGGAGTCCCAGGTGGGCAGATAACTTGAGGCAAAGAGTTCAAGACCTGCCTAGGTAACATGATGAAACCCCATTTCTAAAAAAACAAAACAAACCACACACAAATTAATTGGGCATGGTGGTGGGCACATGTAGTCCTAGCTGCTTGGGAGGCTGAGCAGTAAAAACATCTCCAAGACCAGTGATACTCAGCCTCCTTTGTACCACCAAGGAGGCCAGGAATGAGGGATATGGCATCTCTATAAACTATCAGTGGCCCACCCTGGCAATGTTTCTCCATGGAGGTCATGGTGGGGTACTTCTCCTTTTACTCTTGGGGATCACTACCTTAAGAGGGTATCCTAAACTTGGCACTGTTTTGTTAAATGCAGTTTTAAGTTAATAACTTGGATGAAGACCTAAAAGGCAGGCTTATCCCACCTGGAGATGACAAGACCAAGTTTATTGAAATTAAATGTAACATAATTTCACTGATGGTTGTCTGCAGGCCATGTCTAGCACTAAAGAGGGTTTTTGCCATGGAGATGTTACAAAATTTTGATTTATATCATAAGGCAGACTCAGCTTAAAAGACCTGAGTTTAGTTTGCTTGTTTTTTGTTTTGTTTTGTTTGTTTTTTGCTTACCACCAGCTTAATATGAAGAAAAAAATTAATCAGTTTAAAAAGCCACTGTATCTTTAATGTATTCCATGGAAAGAACATCTACAACTTGGGAGAGGATAATGTAACACATTCCTGGAGCACCATGTCCAGATCAAGTACCATATTTTGAGGGAGACATAAATAGCACTGTATCCAGAGGAGGGAAACCAGGGCAACAAAGATCCTAAAAGCCATACCCAGGAGGATCGGTAGAAAGAAGCAAGGACATTTAATCCTACAGAACAGAAACACATAGAGCCCATACACTATCTTCAAGTATGTGCATGTCCATCACCATTGTTTTCAAACATCCGGAATTCAGAAAATAGGGAAGATTTACTCTGTGTACCTATGGGGCAGAATTGAGGTCAAAAGTTTGCAGTCACATGGCAGCACATTGCTCAATGTAAGGAAGAGCTTTCTAACAATTAAAGCTGCAAAATGAAATGAACCACTTCTAAAAGCTGTGTGCTCTGGATCATCAGAGTTGTTCAATAAGAGGCTGGAATTGGATAGATGACCCAGTCCACGGGGTCTCAGAAAATCTAAAGGAAAATATGTATATTGTTTGGATATTCAGTCAAATCTTATAATATAGTTCTTTAGCTCATTAGCTGTTAATTGTAGGTGGCAAACTGGAATCAATTTAATTGTGCCCTCGAAGAACCAGGAATATTTGGTTGTTTTGTTAGCTTATGAGAATTTCAACAACCTGAAGTCACAATAGGGCCTTGAAATACACATTACCACACAGTCACTAAGAGGGAAGATGATAATGTCAACATATAAGACATATAAATATTTCCTCTCAAATTCTTTTCTTCTCCCCTCTGATTTAGACCAACATTGCCTCTTTCAGTGGTAGCTAATAAGCCAGGCAGATTCAGTAGCATGCTAGTAAATATTTAACAACTGACACTCTGAAAAAAAATTCTAATTTGTCATGTTTGCCAAATCCCATGGTTTAAATACTTCCATCATAGCTGATTTCAAGCTACCGTTGGGAAGAGATGTACACAATCCACTTGAGTGAGCAACTTCAGCAAGCTGGCTCCAGCACACCACTGAATGTACCCCACATTTTAATCAGGAGAATCAGTGCAATTGACTTCCCTAAATTAACAGTCCAATGTTTGTTGCAGAGAAAGAAAGTGAAGATTTGATTACATATGCTTAGTTGTTCCATTTAAACTAAAATACCAACAATATTTTGAAAGAACATATTCTTAAATGTACTGCATTTGCCCACTGCTGCAGCCCACCTTTTCAATCTCTATCACTTTGTTTAGGCTTATTTTCTCTGTACAGGACTTGCTAATACAATGTTAAAGTGGGCCTCCATTTGGAGATACATTCCAGAAGCTCCGACACTAAGTATGCCGTGGTGTAATCTCTACAGTCTAACAGAAATTCTGCAGGAATGAGTGGAGTTCAAACATATCATGACCAGCAGGTTCTGACACATCTAATAAGGAATCAGAGTATGGGGAGATAGTTAAAAACATCCAAAAATGTTGATGATTGATATAGCTCAACTGTCTCTCAAAAACCTCTAAACCCTTATAGCTCTCAGGGCATTTAAGGCCCTTATCTGGAGGATAAATTACAAGATTTTTGAGGAGATACAAAGGGAAGAGCTGGAGGTGAAGTGGAGAATTATAATATTGCATGGGTAAGTCACTAAATGGGTAAAGCAAAGTCATAAATCTGAGATGTGGGATGAAAAAATTTTACGTAGCGTTTTTTTAAAGGTTAAAAATCATTACCATTTGGCAACTGCTTTTTTTTTTTTTAAATGAGGAAAGGAGAGCAAGTAATAACCAAGCATTACTCAAGAAACATATGACTGAAAAATTGAGAAAAGCACATATTTCTGAAAAGCAATAAGAAATGGCAGCAAGAATGAAGATAGATCCTTGAATCTCAGAAATAAGAGGAACAACTTAGGCTGAAAAAATATTAAGGAAGAGGGAAGCCAAAGCTGTGAAAGCTAAATTAAATTTCTTAGAACAAGGTAGTAAAATTCAGTATGATAGAACCCAGAGGCAATTGGAACACCAATGCTCTTTAAAACATACAAATGCCTGCCTAATGCATTTTACAGATACATGTGAATTGGGAATAAAGGCTAATGTAATTGTTCAACAATGTGGTGCAGATGATGAAATCTAAGCACTTAATTTGGAAAGTGTATAGTATTAAGATGACTGCATTGATTACTGTGAAGAGTATGACATGTTTGAATGGGCTTGATAGAGAAGAAGAACTGTGCTCTGTAATTTAGAAATCTAAACCTACTTATTTCTTCTAGAGCATACATTTTATTCAATCAGCTTTCTCTATTAGTTGTTTATAAACATTTGAAACACCAACACCACCAACAACAAAAAAAGACACACTTGAACTTCCCCAAATAGAATTGGATTTGTTCTACTGAGGTAATACTTATATATTATTTTTTGATACAGATAACTCATAACTTGATTGGAAGATGAATTACTAAATTAGGAGCAATTTTATAATCAAAACATACATTTCTACTTCTATTTTGTTTTCCAAATGTGTATTATAACATCTAGGAGTGTATGTGTGTGTTTCTTTTTCTCATATTTCTCTATTAAAGCCCCATTGACAGAGGTACCATTATATAAATGGGTTCTCTATTTGGAACTCAGCAGAGACACTCTGGAAAGATACTGAGGCACAATGGAAAGAGAAGCTGCTTCTTCCTGTTTTGGGGCTGTGGGTTCTCAAATAAGTAGAAGGGAAACTATTTAGTTCTGAGTTCAATGAGTTTCCCATGGTATATTACGTGTTTCCATAATGATGGCTTTGGAAAACGTCTGTCGTGTCAGATGCTGCCTTTCCTCACTCCTTACTCACCAGGTAGTTCACTGCCATTCACAAAGGACTCAGGCCAACTCACAGTGGGCAAAGTTTGTTTTTAACAGTCCTTAATTTTCTTTCTGGAGTCCTCTTCTGTACTAATGACCCTTCTGCTGCCCCAGTCAAAATAATGAAATCAGTTTAGCCACATTTACAAATGGTCCCTGGTTTATGATGGTTTTTTCTTTTTATAATTTTATGATGGTGCAAAAGCTATATACATCCAGTAGAAACTGGGCTTTGAGTTTTGAATTTTGATCTTTTCTTAGGCTAGCAATACCCTCACACGATACAGGGTATTGCTACTGTCAGCTCTGCCAGCCATGCAATCATGATGATGAACAACTGCTACCTATGGTGCACTGTGTAGCCAGATGATCTTCCTCCCGGGTAGGCCAGTGTAAGTGTTCTGAGCATGCTTAAGGTGGGCTAGGCTAAGCCATGATGTTCAGTAGGTTAGGTGTATTAAATGCATTTTCAACTTAGTCATATTTTAAATTTATGATGGGCTTATTAGGAGATAATTGCATGACATATTGAGGAACATCTATATCTTGTTACTTACACCAGAGGTATTTATATTTCAAACAAATATCACATTAAAAGTGAAATTTCAATTATCAGAGTGAAATTTTTGAATAGCTGTGTTTTGGGGTAGCTGATTTTGGATAGCTAAATCGTGGTAAATGATATTTTTTAAATCATAAAAGTGAATATGCTAGAGGAGTTACAATTAAAATATACACAAGTTTTTCTCCATTAATTCTCCTCAGAGTTTTAAGAAAGCTGATTCACATTGCTGTGATCTTTCAGCTTTGTGTGACATGTATTTCTGAATACTTTAAGTACAGCGAGGTTAAGATTGAATCACCTCAAAAATCTCATTATCTTTTAAGTTGACATTTATTTGTAAATAGTGATGATAACCAAATGCCTTTTGTCAACATCTCACCAAGGGGGAAAACTGTGTTTTCACTTACCAATAACAAACTGAGACCTGACACTCGCTCGGATGACTGCCTCTCCAACATCCCACACTAAGCAGAATTTTAAAAAACAAATCAGTAGTAGAGTGGTCTTTATTTTTTCCTTCTTTTCTCATTCAGCTTGTTTAACAAAATGTATGGAAGTAGTTGGATACAAATTATAGTACATAGCACATGGGGGAAGGTTGCTGCAGGTTTGTGGCTTCCCCTAACATTCATCACATGTACTATGTGCCTCAAAGTTCACCACAATAAATCTTTTGGTTCTCAGATAGCATGTCAGTCCTCCAACTATTAAAAACCACTGCACACAGTACCAAACCCCAGACAGGATGACTCCCCGTAGGTACAAAGATTGTATTTCTCAATGCCTATAAGGGCTAATCAATTCATTCAAGAATAGGAAGTAGTAAGATAATATAATCCATTTTCTATTTGAATGAGCCAGTTATTTAACATCTTTGTGCTTCTTTTTTTTTTCTCAGTTGTAAACATGTTCTAATAATTTTCCTATTTCTTTGGGTCTTCCTGAGGATGACATTAAATCATGTTCATAAAGTACCTGGCAAATAAAAAGTACTTAATAATTGGCAGCCATTACTATTGTGCTAACAAGATTTGAATTGGAAAAATGACTTCTCTCTTTGGGTAGGGGGTAGAGTTGGTTTGCTGTGGGTGACAAAGGCAGAGTGTGGATTTCAGAAGCAAATCTGAGAATGTTTACTAAATTAAGTTACACGCAGAGCAAGCATAAAAAACAACAATAATAGTGGAATGCAACTGACAGAACTTTTAATGACACCCGAGACTTTCAATGAAACCTTCCAAAAATACTGCCAAAGGAAATATGAGATGTGCTCTAAGTTAGCTTGTATCCAGCTTAATTTAAATGACTGCTTTGTCACCCAGTTGGGAACATGGTACATACATACATTGCAACATACATAAAAACAAGGTGTTTTGAAACACACATCACACCCCTGCTGACTGACTTTATTCTGAAAACTAAAAGTAAGGCTAACCCAGCTGTGTTTATGGTGCTTCAGATATTCAACAAATGACCATTTATGTTAAGTACCCTGGATTACCTAAGAAATATTTTCACGTCATTAGATAATAATGGGAAAGTATTTCCTATGAATTGATAAGGTGATAATCCAATGAAAGAGTGTCTTTAGTTGACAAAACATGTTTCCAGTGTCTTATTACTCTCCATTTAATCTCTATAGTGGCACAAAATTAAGTTTCTCCACTTGGATACTTTCCTGACATCTCTTGATAACTCAAAAGCCTCTCACACTCAGTATGTCCAAAAATGATCTCACTATGAACATCCCACCCCCAACCTGTTCCCTTCCTGTGTTTCTTGTCATAGCAAAACACTACTGTCACCTACAACCCATTCAGTTTTTCAAGCCAGAAATTTAGAGGTTATTCCTCACAACTCCCTTCTCTTCCTCCTAAATCCAATCTATCATCAAACACTGTTAATTTGGCTTGGTAAATTTCTCCCTCTATTCATCTCTCCTTGACTCTGCTACCAACATCAGTCTAATATAACCTACTGTCACCTCTCTCCCAGACTGTGGCAATAGCCTCCTAACTGGCCTGACTTCATATATCCCATCCCCTCTCAACACCCTTACCCCACCCACAACTTTTTCTTCCACCATTGCATGAGCTGGATCAGATCCTGCCACTCCAACTCAGCTTAAAACTCTTGATAACTTTTGATGGCCTTAGGAAGAAGAGGAAAAAATACCTTACTGTGGTTTACAAAGCCTCACTTTTGCTTCCTTTGTGTTACTGTGCCTTTCTTGCCTCTGCTCCAGCCATACATGCTATTGTGGGCTCACTGTGCTCCCTCCTGGCACAAGGTAGCTGACATTGTTTGGCTGTGTCTTCACCAAATCTCATCTTGAATTGTAACTCCCATAATTCCCACATGATGTGGGAGGGACCCCGTGGGAGATAATTGAATCATGGGGTTGGCTCCCCCATAGTGTTCTCATGGTAGTGGTAAGTCTCATGAGATCTGATGGTTTTATAAGGAGCTTCCTTTTTCACTTGTCTCTCACTTTCTCTCTTGCTGTCACCATTAAGAAGTGCCTTTTGCCATGATTGTGAGGCCTCCCAGCCACGTGGACCTGTGAGTTCATTAAATATCTTTTTCTTTATAAATTACCTAGTCTTGGGTGTGTCTTTATCAGCAGTGTGAAAACAGGCTAATACAGTAGCTCTGGGTTTCCCTGATGCCTGAAATGCTCTTGCCAATCCTCTTTGCCTAGTCACCTCTGCAGATTTTGATTTCACTTCCTTGAGGAATCTTTCCTTGACCTCTTTGACCACATCAATTCCCTGTTATAAGCTTTCACAATACCATGCAACTCTTCTTCACTGCACTTAATAAAGTTGTGCTTTTATTTCGTTTAACACTTTAATATTTTTTGTTTCTATTATTGTATAAGTTCCTGTAGAGGGAGACTACATCTATTTTTGGTCACTTGCTAGCCCTAGCCTAAGCACAGTGTATATGATCTAACAATGTTCAGTAGTAAATACTGGCGGAATGAATGAATAAATGATGTCAGGTAAGTTTCCTACATTGCTTTCAGTAAGGAGACTATATTGTTTTGCTTTTAAAAAAAAAAGTGTCAGCAAGCAGTCTGTTTTGTAAAATGCCCAGTTTGGTTCGTACTTATAAATATGAAAATGGTTAACTTAATCAAATTGCTGTAAAGATATGAGATTTCGCAGAAAATGAGTTTATTACCTTTAGTTTTAAGGAGTTCAGCTTTTCCTCCCTGAGGTGTTCTCTCAACATCTCCCGGTGGAGCCTTTCCTGCTCCCTTGCAAACTCTCCAAGGGTGTACTGGCGCACGCTGTTATGGCGGCTGGACATCCCCAGGGTGCTGCCCCCTTGACTGGGCACACTTGTGAAGCCTTGCCTCCTGGTGAAGTAGTACACGGTGACACAACTAAAATGTACATTCTTTGTCCTCAGCCGCTTCTCTCTTTTGAGAATAGAGGAAGCTGAAAGAGAAAGAAATAATTCTGTGAACACTTCGGGCAGCAATTTTCAGAAAAGGCCATGAAAATGCCATTTGGTGATCTTGAATCTATCCATGGTCAACTCTTGTTGGCTAGGGCACTCTAAAACTGTTACATCCCAGAGTTGGCATTGAGTTCTTATTTTCTTTCTTAAATTTTCTTCTAGCTGTGGCAGAGTAGACTTTTAAGTATAATGGTAGTCTGTACTTTTAAGTATAATGATAATCTAAGCAAACTTTCAGGAAAGTTGCCAATAGTCTGTGAATTTGTCAGACCACTTATAGTAGTCTCCCCTTATCCTTAGAGGATATGTTCTCAGATCTCCTGTGGATGCCTGAAATCACTGATAATATTGAGCCCTATATATACTATGTTTTTTCCTATACATACACACATACCCAAGATAATACACAGTAAGAAATTAATTACAACAGCTAATAGTAAAATGAAGCAATTATAATAATATGCAAACATCACCACTTTTGTGCTTTGAGGCTGTTGTTAGGTAAAATAAGGGTTCCTTGAACATAAGCACTAGGATACCCATGACAGTTGATCTGATAACTGAAGACGGCTACTATGTACCTAATGGGCCAGTAGCATAGACAGCACTGATGTGCTGACAAAGAGAAGATTCAAATCCTTGGGGAATGGGAATGAGACAGTGTGAGATTTCATCACATTACTCCCAACAGCCTGCAGTTTAAAACTTAAAAATGGTTTATTTCAGGAAATTTTCATTTAATATTTTTAGATTGTGATTGACCACAGATAATTGAAACTGGGGAAATAAAAACTGCAGATAATGGTAAATTCTCATTTCCTCTAATCCTTTGAATTTTGGTTTTATGACTTTCACAGGAGTTGTACTTTACTATAATCAAAACAGACACATAGTACAAACCCTCCCTCATACCTCAGATCTTATTTCTATGTGGAGGGCCTTTGACACTAAAACAAATGTCTACAAATTTTAGAAAATTTCAAAAAGCAATAAAAACACACATAAAAAGGCTCATTGGCACTATTTAGATTTTTGTCAATCTAAATCTAATAAAACTTTCATTTGAAAAAAACAAGCTTTCTCATTAAATAGCATTATGAACAATGGCATTCTAATCCCATTGTATCCCAAGTATATATTGGGACATTGAAAATGCCTGAGATATATCAGAACCGTTTTATTCTTCTTCTTTATTTTTTAACTGATAAATAAAATTATATATATTTATGAAGCCCAGGGTGATGCTTCGATATATGTATGTATTGTGAGACTGCTCAATCAGACTAATTAACATATCAATTATCTTACATGCTGATTTTTTGTGGTAATGGGGGGAGCCTTTATTATTAGCTACAGGAACATCAAGATGCACAGAGAATTCAGGAGAGGTAGACCCTGGCTGTAGTTGAGAAAAAGAAGGCCTCTCTTCATAAACATGACCTTTTGAAATTCGAAGACATGGTAGAATCACCTGGCCCAGCCCTTTCATTTTATAGTGAAGTAACCAAAGTCTGTAGAATTTGAGTGACTTTTTTTGATGTAGACTGTTAGTGAGGCACGTAGCGTAAACCTAAAAGCTCCTAGTTTGCTGTCAAATTATATGATCCATCCCACTGGGGAAGAAAAAGACACACGTAGTTGAGAAGAAAGAATCATGCTATTGTTTTGCTAGCTGAGGATTTGTTCTCAGTTCATCGTTTTTTCCTGTCTGCTATTCTATTATGGGTTGAATTTTGTCCCTCTCCACCAAATACACTAAAGTCCTCATCCCAAGTACCCAGAATGTAATCTCTCTTGGAAACAGGGACTCTACAGAAGTAAACAAATTAAAATGAGGTCATTAGGGCAGGCCCTAATCCAAGATGACTGGTGTCTTTATAAAAGTTAAAATTTGGACACAGACATGCGTAGAGGGAACATGATGTGGAGAGTCACAGGAAGAGCACCATGTGAAGACTGACACGGAGATGGGGACTCTGCCACCACAAGCCAAGAATGTCGGGGGCTACCAAAAAACTGGAATATGCAAGGAAAAATCCTTTCCCACAGGTTTCAGAGGGAGCCAGTCCCTGCCAACACCTTGGTCATCTAGCCTCCAGAACTGTGAGCAATTTCTGCTGTTGTAAGCCACCCTGTTTGTGGTCATGTTTATGGCAGACCGAGAAAACTGATACAAGTGCTCAAGCAGGAAAAGGAACAAAGAAAATGAACTGAGAAGAAATCCTCAGATGGTAAAATACCATAACTTAACATTTATGGAGTGCTTCCCCTGTGCTGTGCTGTGCTTTGCAGAGAACTTTACATGAATTATCTCATTTTATCCTTAGAGCTCCCTGGTTGATATTACCCAAGTCCCCATTGTTACGAAAGCAAATTATCAAAGGTTAAATAACATGGCCAAGCTCTTATATCTAATGATAAAACTGGAATCTGTTATTCAGAGCCCAGTCTTTTCACTACCATATTTCAGCACAGAGCTGAGGCCACACTAAGGGAGGTGAACAAGGCTGAGATCTGGCATCATTCTACCTCTGGAAAATGTCAACTGCTGCTGGCTTCAAGATGATTTTGATTTGGAAGGCTGTGTAAGCAATGAAAAAAAAATTGACTCTAATTCAAGTTGGATTTATATAAGAATGTTTTTCCAAGGAGATTCAAACTCCTTTGTCTCATTTTTCCCCCATGAAACATTCAAGCCAAATATAGAGAGGCTGCCATGATTATTTTCATTTCATGGATTTGTTTAATCAATAAGTATAAATTGAGAGCCTACTATGTGCCAGGCACTTTCTAGATGATTAGGATACATCAGTTAAAAATACAGATGTGGCCCACACCTGTAATCCCAGCACTTTGGGAGACTGAGTTGGGAGGATCATCTGAGGTCAGGAGTTCAAGACCATCCTTGCCAACATGGTGAAATTTTATCTTTAATAAAAATACAAAAATTAACCAGGTGTGGTGTCACATGCCTATAATCCCAGCTACTTGGGAGGCAGAGGCAGGAGAATTTCTGACACCTGGGAGGTAGAGGTTGCAGTCAGCCGAAATCATACCACCGCACTCCAGCCTGAGCAACAGAGTGAGACTCCATCTTAAAGAATAAAAATAATAAACAAATGAACAAATAAATAAATAAAAACACAGATGATGATCCCTGCCTGTGTGGAGCTTCCATTTCAGTGATGAGAAACTCAGGTACAATGAAGAGACTCAGAAGATTAGACAGTAAGAGAATTATAACCTTAGAACAGAAATTCAGCTTTCCCAACTTTCCTCTTCTCTGCTGTTTCACTTCTCCAGAAGATACTGCCAGAAAGTGAATGCTTTCCAACATGTGCATAATTTTTCTATTTATTTATGTATATATTCACTGTGACACACCTGTAGTCCAGGCAGTAAAGACAACTTTCAACTTTGATTTAAAAGTTATGAGCTGCTTCATAACTACATGTTTAAATCATCTCAAAACAAGGAAGAATTTGTCAAAATGTAAAAGATCACCATAGAAGACAAATTTAACAATCTGCCCAGTAATCTGCTATCAAATCTGACAACCTCATCTGTCACACCTTATAGCAGGCTAGAGCCTCTGGTTTTGTGATAATAACTTTCTATCTTTTTTGCTCTTGATAATATAAAAATGATGCCCTAAAGACATGATTGTTCAAGGCCATAAATTTATAGATAAAGGTTTTAATGTACTCATTTAAAACAATTATTATACACATCTCTGGTAATTTTTTTTTTCTTGAGATGGAACTTTGCTCTTGTTGCCCAGACTGGAGTGCAAAGGCACGATCTTGGCTCATCGCAACCTCTGCCTCCTGGGTTCAAATGATTCTCCTTCCTCAGCCTCCTGAGTAGCTGGGATTTCAGGCGTCCACCACCACACCCAGCTAATTTTGGTATTTTCAGTGTTTCACCATGTTGGCCAGGCTGTTCTCAAATTCCTGATCTCAGTGATCCACCTGCCTTGGCTTCCTGAAGTGCTGGGATTATAGGTGTGAGACATCGCACCTGGCCACCTCTGGTAATTTTATTACTTAATTTTTGGACAATTAGTGATACTCAAGAAATTTCCTTTCCAAATGTATTTATATCTCCACCTGCAGTTTTAGATTATAAGATTTTTTTACCCTTCTGGATGAATCTATTGTACCATGCTTTCCCAGAAAAGACAAATTACCTTTTCCCCAAAAGCCAGAGTCTGGAGGTGATTTTCTAAGGCCTTGAAGATGACAATAGTCTTCAACATTATTGGGATTACAGGCGTGAGCCGTACCCAGCATCATCTGTGTTTTTAAGAAGGACTTCAGCTGGGCCCCTGGCAGTGCTGACACTGTCAAAAGGAATTAGAAACACTGCTTCCTCCTATCTATTAGTATTTATAATTCTAACATGTGCTTATGTTTATTTTAGCAGTTTGCATATTATACATAACATTGTGAGAACAATGATTCAAAAGCCCATGGAATCTATTTAAAAGGAAGTCTTGGCAATACTGCAAGATCAGCCTTATAGGGGATATTGTAAGTGTGGCTTTCCTGAAGTTAAGAGCCACCCAAGTCTCTCTTCTGATGATTGAATCAGAGGACTAGCATCAGCCTTTATGAGCTATTTTCTGCCTCAATTTGACTAACATCACAAAATGAAGTCATAAAAAAGAGTCTTTGCCCTTTGAGCCTGAAAGAAGCAGACTAAATTCACTCAGCACACCTGCCGTAGGGAATCTGAAACCTCCCTGATATACCCTACCTTGTAATTTGTGCCCTTTCCAAGATGACTAAGCTCTGCTTTGCGTCTCTGCAGAATTCAATATTGGCTTTACTGCTGCAAGGTCAAGAGCAAGCGCAGGAGGGAGGAGAATGGGGCTTTCATGAGAGATTTGAAAATTAATTAGTCTGTTTTTGGCCAATGTGGTGGCTCATGCCAGTAATCCCAGCATTTGGGAGGCTGAGGCAGGTGGATCCCTTGA